CCCAACTAGCCTTCGAAGCAATCAAGGAACGCTTAACGCATGCTCCCGTGTTAGCCCTTCCTAGTTTTGAGAAACTATTCGAGGTTGAATGTGATGCCTCAGGAGTTGGCATTGGGGCTGTACTATCTCAAGAAGGACATCCAGTTTCATACTTCAGTGAAAAGTTAAATGAGACCAGGAGGCGCTACTCCACATATGACAAGGAGTTTTACGCGCTAGTTCGCTCCATCGAACATTGGAGACACTACCTCGTGGGAAAGGAGTTTATTCTGCATTCTGATCATGAGGCATTGAAGTACATTCAAGGGCAACATAAACTTCGACCCCGCCATGCTAAATGGGTCGAGTACATTCAGACCTTCACATTCACAATCAAACACAAGAATGGAGTCATGAACAAAAGAGCCGATGCCTTGTCAAGAAGGCATTTTTTACTAACGGTACTTAGTACCAAAATTCTTGGTTTTGAAATTTTGCAGGAACTATACAAAGAAGATGAAGACTTCAAGGATGTGTATGCCCAATGCCTCTCTCGGCCCTATGGAGACTACCTCATCAAGGACGGTTATCTTTTCCATGGAAATCAACTGTGCATTCCGAAGAGCAGCGTACGTGAGACCCTCATAAAAGAAATCCATGGAGGCGGCCTAGCTGGTCATTTTGGAATCAACAAAACCTACTTGATGATGAAGGAACATTATTTTTGGCCAAAAATGGAAAGAGACATTGAACACTTTATCAAGAGATGCCACACTTGCCACCTTGCGAAAGCTCATGCTTTGCCACAAGGAGCACACTTACCACTGCCTGTCCCTTATGCTCCATGGGAAGACATTAGCTTGGACTTCATTACCGGGCTGCCCCGAACTCAAAAGGGAAAAGACTCAATCATGGTGGTAGTGGACAGATTCTCGAAGATGGCTCACTTCATTCCGTGTGTTACCACCTACGACGCGTCACAAGTAGCTGATCTCTATTTCCGAGAGATAGTTAAACTACATGGCGTTCCCCGAAGCATGGTCTCTGATCGGGATCCGAAGTTCTTAAGTCATTTTTGGATGACCCTTTAGCGGAAGCTAGGCACGAAACTCAAGTTCAGCACATCAAGCCACCCGCAAACAGATGGTCAAACGGAAGTTACAAACCGGACGCTTGGAACCCTTCTTCGGGTACTAATCAAGAAAAACATCAAACAATGGGAAGAGCTTTTACCGCATGCTGAGTTCGCTTACAACAGGACCCCAAACAAAACAACTGGAGTATCCCTGTTTATGGTTGTGTATGGCTCGAACCCCCTCACCCCACTTGAGCTTGACCCTATCATGGGAAAAGGACAATATAGTTGGGAAGCTGACAAACGATCCAAGGAGATTCAAGAACTACACGGGAAGGTTCGAGAGAAGATTGAGGCGATGAATGAAAAGGTGATTGCACGCATCAACAAAGGAAGAAGGCTCACGAGTTTCCAGCCCGGAGATTTAGTATGGATTCATCTCAGAAAAGAACATTTTCCAACAAAACGCAAGTCCAAGTTAATGCCAAGAGCGGATGGTCCGTTTGAAGTGGTAGAGAAAATCAATGAGAATGCCTACAAGATCAACCTTCCGGGAGATTATGGAGTCTCGGCTACATTTAACGTGAAAGATCTCAATCCATATTTTGATCCTGGAGAAATTCCGAGTTTGAGGTCAAACTCTTCTGAAGAAGGGGAGGATGTTGTATCCCCTGGTACTACACCTGACCCTCAAATCCTTAAACAAATCAGTGGAATCATGTCTAAGTGTTACGATCCTTTCTGGAATGAATTCTCCAACCCTAAACCATTTTACTTAACCATGACAACCTTGAGCCTATCTCCACCCTGAAAAGAGCCGTATACCCTGCCCCACAACCCTGGCCGAAACTACCCCACTCCCTACTTGAGTCACTCCATCAATGTAACACATTTTGTGCCAAAAAAAAAACCATATCACACAATAAGTCATTTTTCCCTTTCATTTCCCTAAGCTAGGGCCGAAACACACCAAGCCAAACAACCATATTTCATCACCCAACATCCCACAAACATTGTCCCCCCCTTGTCCCCTAGTACAACCGAAATAACAAGCACAACAAGCCAAGGGATATTT